ACATCAAGTGATTCTTACTTAGGTGTACATTAAAAGAATCAACAGTATATTTAAAAAAAATACAGAAATTAGACGTACGTTAACCAGTCTGGTTGTATGATTATATTATGTATGTATGAATGTTAGTTAATAGTTTAGTTAACAGATAACAATAGTAATTATGTCTTATGTATTTATAAGCATTATTTTATATAGACTAATATTAAAAAAAAAAAAGCTGTTTTAAATTAACAAAATGTTAGTATATAAAATTAAAATATGGATGGACTAACAACTAACAATTAATTTTTCTAGTACAACAAATCAGCCTAGGTTTAAATGTTTAATATATTGTAAATAATTATTGGTTGATTYGAAATATGAAATAAATAATTARTTAATCAGAACATTGTACTAACACAGCTTTATTTTGTTTTGCAGCCATTAAAATATGTTGAAAAGCAGGTCCTTCAAAATTGTCGTAAACAAAAACTTGACTTTTTTTTAATGATTTTATTTTACAAACATCTGATTCACTGATCACATTAGTGGTAAGTTCATGATTAACGCAATCCTATAATATAAATATAAAATACATATTTTATTTTATTGATTTGTGAACCACAAAAACACTATACGTCACCACTTACTTGTAATGCGAGTTGCATAGTTTCAGACATATTTTCAATATCTGTCCTGTCTTCTGTAAGGACAAAAAACACTTGAATGGTATTTTTTTTTGATGACCACATAATTAAAGGATTTTAAAGAATACAATAACATTAAATACTAAATAAATACCCCCATGGTTAAACAATGTTTAAAGTTAAGAGGTAAAATACTAAAATATTTAATAATTTTAAATTTTTCAAACAAACAACAGTCAACAAATTGGTCAAATTGAWCAAATAACATTTAGCGGGAGCAAGAATACAAGATTAACTTCTTTTATCATGATACTATATACATTCATAACATTGTGTGATAACGTTTCTGATTATTTCGAAAAGTTAATCTATGGTTAAGAATCCTCACCATGGTAACCACACYATTACCGCTGAACAGTAAAAAAGAACGGTTAAAGTATTTTTTTAAATTCATTAAAATTTTGTGAAACACTTATAAAATAACTAATACCACCATGGCACCATATTATGCCCGTGTTAGTTTTTATTAAACATCCCGCTTTATTGACTGCCTTCAAAGTGGTACTATTGGTAATGTTTCTGATAGGTATCTTCTACTGAATTATACACCTGTGAATTAGGTATATACATTATGATGCAAGTTGAACAATTCCCAATATTTACTCAATCCGCATTTTGCATGTTATGATATTTATAGCGCCAAAGCCTATGTATTTTTGAATAATAAACTATTTTGCAACATATTCTATCTTCTATGCGTCTATTCACACACAGCCTGAATTTATGCAAAACCCAAAAAGGTTATTAAAAAATTTTGATTTCTTTCAGTGTTTTTAAATCTTCACTAGTTTGACCCAATCTGACCAAATTTGACCAAACTAATATCCCTTTCAAAATCAATAGGTAACCTATATTCGCTGGACAATTTTTAACAAAATCTAAATTTGTTTAAACAATTTTAAATAGGTATACAGGGTGTCCCAAAGAGATCTGACATTCTGACAAATGAAATAACTTTTGTTCTAATCAATATTTTTTAAAAATTTCTTTTAAATATAATCCATA